GAGAGAGAGGACTCTGTGTAAATACACAACAACAGAAATATTAACTACATCCAAAGATTTCATAGAATCATAGAATAATAGGACTGAAAGGGACCTCAAGAGGTCATCGAGTCCAGCCCCCCGCCCTCAAGACCAAGCTCCACCTACACCATCCCTGACAGATGTCTATCTAACCTGTTCTTAAATATCTCCAGAGAGGGAGATTCCACCACCTCCCTTGGCAATTTATTCCAATATTTGACCACCCTGACAGTTAGGAATTTTTTCCTAATGTCCAATCTAAACCTCCCCTGCTGCACTTTAAGCCCATTACTCCTTGTCCTGTCCTCAGAAACCAAGAGAAACAAATTTTCTCCTTCCTCCTTGTGACACCCTTTTAGATATTTGAAAACCACTATCATGTCCCCCCTTAATCTTCGTTTTTCCAAACTAAACAAGCCCAGTTCATGAAGCCTGGCTTCATAGGCTTCTCTAGACCTTTAATCATTCTTGTCGCTCTTCTCTGTACCCTTTCCAATTTCTCCACATCTTTCTTGAAATGTGGCGCCCAGAACTGGACACAGTACTCCAGCTGAGGCCTAACTAGTGCAGAGTAGAGCGGCAGAATGACTTCACGAGTTTTGCTTACAACACACCTGTTAATACAACCTAGAATCATATTTGCTTTTTTGGCAACAGCATCACACTGTTGACTCATATTCAACTTGTGGTCCACTATGACCCCTAGATCCCTTTCCGCCATGCTCCTTCCTAGACAGTCGCTTCCCATCTTGTATGTATGGAACTGATTGTTCCTTCCTAAGTGGAGCACTCTGCATTTCTCCTTATTAAACCTCATCCTGTTTACCTCTGACCATTTCTCTAACTTGCTAAGGTCATTTTGAATTATGTCCCTATCCTCCAAAGAAGTTGCAACCCCACCCAGTTTGGTATCATCCGCAAACTTAATAAGCGTACTCTCTATCCCAATATCTACATCATTGATGAAGATATTGAACAGTACAGGTCCCAAAACAGACCCTTGAGGAACTCCACTTGTTATCCCTTTCCAGCAGGATTTAGAACCGTTAACAACAACTCTCTGACTACGGTTATCCAGCCAATTATGCACCCACCTTATCGTGGCCCTATCTAAGTTATATTTGCCTAGTTTATCAATAAGAATATCATGCGAGACCGTATCAAATGCCTTACTAAAGTCTAGGTATATGACATCCACCGCTTCTCCCTTATCCACAAGGCTCGTTATCCTATCAAAGAAAGCTATCAGATTAGTTTGGCATGACTTGTTCTTCACAAACCCATGCTGGCTATTCCCTATCACTTTATTACCTTCCAAGTGTTTGCATATGATTTCCTTAATTACCTGCTCCATTATCTTCCCTGGGACAGACGTTAAACTGACCGGTCTATAATTTCCTGGGTTGTTCTTATTCCCCTTTTTATAGATGGGCACAATATTTGCCCTTTTCCAGTCTTCTGGAATCTCCCCTGTCTGCCATGATTTTTCAAAGATCATAGCTAAAGGCTCAGATACCTCCTCTATCAGCTCCTTGAGTATCCTGGGATGCATTTCATCAGGACCTGGTGACTTGCTGACATCTAACTTTCCTAAGTGATTTTTAACTTGTTCTTTGTGACAAATAAAGGAGGCTGTTCCTCAGTATAGAGTAGCGTAGCATATCCAAACAAGACCATGCCAGAGCAAGAAATGTCCATGGAATTATTTTGGGAGAAGGTTCCTTTTGTGGCAGCCTTTCTTCAGCTCTTTTGAATTCAGAGCACAGGCAGTCCCCGACTTACGCGGATCCGACTTACGTCAGATCCGCACTTACAAACAGGGCTCTCTCGCCCCGGAGGTCGAGGTGGCGGATTGCTGCCTGCAAGCTCCGGGGCGGGAAAGCCCCGTTCATAATAGGGAATAGCCAGCATGGGTTTGTGAAGAACAAGTCATGCCAAACTAATCTGATAGCTTTCTTTGATAAGATAACGAGCCTTGTGGATAAGGGAGAAGCGGTGGATGTCATATACCTAGACTTTAGTAAGGCATTTGATACGGTCTCGCATGATATTCTTATTGATAAACTAGGCAAATATAACTTAGATAGGGCCACGATAAGGTGGGTGCATAATTGGCTGGATAACCGTAGTCAGAGAGTTGTTGTTAACGGTTCTAAATCCTGCTGGAAAGGGATAACAAGTGGAGTTCCTCAAGGGTCTGTTTTGGGACCCGTACTATTCAATATCTTCATCAATGATGTAGATATTGGGATAGAGAGTACGCTTATTAAGTTTGCAGATGATACCAAACTGGGTGGGGTTGCAACTTCTTTGGAGGATAGGGACATAATTCAAAATGACCTTAGCAAGTTAGAGAAATGGTCAGAGGTAAACAGGATGAGGTTTAATAAAGAGAAATGCAAAGTGCTCCACTTAGGAAGGAACAATCAGTTCCATACATACAAGATGGGAAGCGACTGTCTAGGAAGGAGCATGGCAGAAAGGGATCTAGGGGTCATAGTGGACCACAAGTTGAATATGAGTCAACAGTGTGATGCTGTTGCAAAAAAAGCAAATATGATTCTAGGTTGTATCAACAGGTGTGTTGTAAGCAAAACTCGTGAAGTCATTCTGCCGCTCTACTCTGCACTAGTTAGGCCTCAGCTGGAGTACTGTGTCCAGTTCTGGGCGCCACATTTCAAGAAAGATGTGGAGAAATTGGAAAGGGTACAGAGAAGAGCAACAAGAATGATTAAAGGTTTAGAGAACATGACCTATGAAGCCAGGCTTCATGAACTGGGCTTGTTTAGTTTGGAAAAAAGAAGATTAAGGGGGGACATGATAGCGGTTTTCAAATATCTAAAAGGGTGTCACAAGGAGGAAGGAGAAAATTTGTTCCTCTTGGTTTCTGAGGACAGGACAAGGAGTAATGGGCTTAAAGTGCAGCAGGGGAGGTTTAGATTGGACATTAGGAAAAAATTCCTAACTGTCAGGGTGGTCAAATATTGGAATAAATTGCCAAGGGAGGTGGTGGAATCTCCCTCTCTGGAGATATTTAAGAACAGGTTAGATAGACATCTGTCAGGGATGGTGTAGACAGAGCTTGATCCTGCCTTGAGGGCGGGGGGCTGGACTCGATGACCTCTTGAGGTCCCTTCCAGTCCTATTATTCTATGATTCTATGAAAAGCATGAGTGGCGTGGAGAGGGTGCATAAAGAAAAGTTCTTCGTTAGTTCCCATAATAGAAGGACTAGAGGACACCAAATGAAATGAATGGGTAGCAGGCTTCAAACTAACAACAGAAAGTTCTTCTTCACAAAGCAAATAGTCAGCCGAGGAGCGGCGCTACTGGAGCAACCCAGCAGCACCCAAGCTGCTCTGCCCCAGGCGTCCCCAAGTCAGCCGCTGCTGAAACTGACCAGCGCTGACTACAGGAAGCCCGAGGCAGAGTTGCTCTGCCCCAGGCTTCCTGGAATCAGCCGCTGATCAGTTTCAGCAGCAGCTGACTTGGGGACGCTTGGGGTTCTTAAGTTGAATCTGTATGTAAGTCAGAACTGGCAGTCAGTTTCAGCAGCAGCTGAATCTGGACGCCAGTTCCAACTTACATATAGATTCAACTTAAGAACAAACCTACAGTCCCTATCTTGTACGTAACCCGGGGACTGCCTGTAATACCTAAGAAAAGGCCAATATAGCTGCATTGTTCATGATAGCACTGCCAATTTTGCCAGAACACTCTAGAAAATTACTCATTATAGTCACTGGATCAGAGAAGCTGATCTTATGTGCCATTTGCTTTATCTGTTAGTTTTAAGAGTACACTGCAGAGATCTACTTTAAAGACTTTTGACGATAAGAGGGTATTGATTTGCTTAAGCTGAAGTTGGTTAACAAGTGGCTAAAAATGATTTGCGATCATTTGTGCTGCTGATTTGTGAACTCTTGACAAATTACATCTTAGAACACAGAATAGGTGCTGAGTTATACCTCTAAAGTCTAAATAACTCTATAGCTTATCTATACTGATCTTTAATACTGACTGCTCTAACAAAGGGATTTGTCATTTAAATGAATTTTGTACATCAATTTCTAGAAGAAACTTTTTCTATAAGAATTTTTTTTTAATTAGCTTTGATTTTGTTGAAAGTAAAAATGGAATTCCAAACAAAATCTATTAATGAAGCTTAAAATTGATTATAACTATTAAAATAATGGACAAAAATAAATAATTTTAGTTCCTTGATAATTTCAGTTCAGGGGAACCACAGTTCTGAGTGCTTATTTAATTGATATGTCTGAATAGTCCACAAAAGAGAGTCATAAAATCTTCTGTCAGAAGCGCACACCTTTTAACAATTATGCAGGTAACTAGACAATTAGCCCGTCATAAGACAGGATTTTCAGGTCTCTCCTCCATGTCAGTCTTCTCTCCTGAGCCTCCAGTTTCTCTCTCTCTCTCTCTCTCACTCTTCCTCCTACTGCTTCCCCCCCCTCCCTCAGCTTTCCTCTGCCTTCTGCCTCTCCCTCTCTCTCTCTTATCCTCTGCCTGCCTCTCACTCTCTCTCTGCTCTCCTGTCTCCCTCAGGGATGCACGCTTGTCCAGGCCCCGCCCTCTGGGCGTGTATATCCCCTCCCTGCCCCCTTCTGCCTCTCGCTGTAGTGCTCGGCTGACTTCTGCGCCGCTCAGCTGGGCTGCTGCAGGGGAGCAAGCAGCCGTTTGGGCCCTGCGCTTCTCATGCAGCACCCCCATGCTGCATGGGGAGTGCGGACCCCAAACGGTTGCTTGCTCCCACACAGCGGCCGGGCTGAGCGGCGCAGAAGTCAGCTGAGCGCCACAGTGGGAGGCAACAGCGCTGCCCAGAGGGAACAGCGAGCATTTCAGTATTACAGAGCCACGAACACCGGGCTACTATATATAATGATACCAGCAGCCATTTGAAAATATACTTCATGAATAAACATGATTAAGAAAAGAGAAATAAAGAAAGACATTTCCTACCTGTGTTGGCTGATTGGGATGCAGTGATTTTGTTTGCAGTTAAACTTGGAGTTAGTGGTATTCTTCTGTTCTTTATCCGTTCTATTAAAGATTCAAATTCATCTTCTGAGCTGTCTGGTTCTAACACAGCACTACATTGGAGTGCCAAGATCTGTGTGTGGCTCCCTGCATACTTTTCCTGATCTTGTTTTTTCCCATCAAGAGATGAATCTGGACTATATTGGGAAACATCAAGTTCCTTCTGTTTTTGTGAAGGAGCTTGTGGTATGTGATGCAGATTGTTTTTCAAGCCTCTCGCTTCATTTTCTTGGCAGTGGTCAGACCATGAACTTTTTATGAAAACAGAATCATCATTACTGTCACTTAAAATCTCTGGATACACCCATTCCTGAGAGCAAGTCTTTTCCTTTCCAGATGTCACTGGTGTGTTCTGGATCTGAACATTCTTCATTGCTACGATTTAAATGAAAAATTCAAAGACTTCAGCTTTATGCTTTGATGCAAGTTAATCAGGCTAGGGAACATTTTATTATAGCTACTCTTCCTGATAAAGGAAAGCGTCTGCAGTTATGCAAATATAAGAGTTTGTTTTTAGCTGACTATATGGTTATTCTTATTTCTTACTAGAAGACTTACCCAGCACTGCCCAGGTCCTTCAGGGCAGAGGGCTGGCAGTGGAGGGTGCGCAGAGTCTGGGCCGAGCCGGGGGTGGGTGGGGTGTGTGTGTGTGTGTCCGCGCCAGCAGGAGCAGTTCCCCCTCCCCTACCAGATATTGATATCCCAGTATTAAAACAAGCATAACAGGAAGGAAGAAGAAAAAGGAAAAGATCATAGGAAGGAATGAGAAATTGAGACTGAGCAAGGCAAGAATTAATCCAGCAAAAAGCAAACAGCATTGAACCTCTCCTGTTATCTTACCCTAAAAGGGAACCAAACTTTTCCAAAGTTATTTGTGCTTTTCCTAAAGAATAATTGTGAGCACTGATCAATGAGCATTTTCTCTCCACCCAGTTAAAACTCCTGTCCCCTCCTTGTTGTTGGATGGCTACTTACCCTTCCTACTTATGTCATTCTTTCTTGTAAAATCAGAGAAGTAGTCTTCCACAGAGTCAACAATGATTTCATTCAAACTGTAGGCAAATAACATGAAGGAAATGAAGTCAGGAATGATTCGCGTCTCAGTACATGTAATGTGAACAATAAAGCAGACTGGTACAGTGTTCTAATTTATTCACTGGAAACCACCCATTAACACTGAAGAATGCTCTCAGTGTAACTTGTAGTTGTCAGTTAAGTTTTGTCAGTATTTGATCATTAAACTTCTGAGGAAGAAAGACAGGACTCCATTTCAAGAATCTTGAGCTATTTTGTAAATTTAGTCCTACAATAGGATAACAACATGTTTGCAAACTAAGTTCAGATATTGAAATAGACTGTTATTTTATGTGGTAACAAGAATGAGGGACGACATAGCTAGGTAACCATAAAGATGGAGTTTATAAAGTTCTACTTAGATATTACACTGTTGACCAAAAAGGTTATCTTTAAGGTGAATATAGCACTTGTGAAAAATGCAAAGCTGTCAGTGCTTTTAATTCCTCAATCCATAAAAATCTACAGAGTGCAGGCTGCCACACTGCAAACCTCTACACTCCACTTTCACAAATGCGCCTTATTTCTAATCTACATGAACCACTTCACTTGGTAAAAAGGGAGTTCTGTTTTCATAACTCATTCAACACTTGGTGCCTCTACCACAACTGCCAGGTATGGGAATAATTAGTACAAGAGCCAGCAAATATAAAACACACAGCCATACTGGGTCAGATGAAAGGTCCACCTATAGCTCAGTATCCTGTCTTCCAAGAGTGGCCAATACTAGGTGCCCCACTGGGAAAAAACATAACAGGGAATCGTCAAGTGACCCAGTCTATGTCACTCATTTCTAGCATCTGACAAACAGGTTAGGAACACCATTTCTACACATCCTAGCTAATAGCCGTTGATGGACCTATTCTCCATGAATTTGTCTAGTTCTTTTTTGAATCCTGTTAAGAGTCTTGGCCTTCACAACATCCTCTGGCAGAGTTCCACAGATGGACTGTAAGTTGTGTGAAGATATATTTCCTTTTGTTTGTTTTAAACCTGATGTCTAATGATTTCATTTGGTGATCACTAGTTCTTGTGTTATGAGGAGTATATATCACTTCCTTATTTACTTTATCTGAAAACTAAGTAGTATGGAAATCTGTCCTCTACAAAACAAGACAAAGTCATTTCTATCACTCATTTCATATAGTGGTCTAATGACTGGCTCACAGTGATAACTGTAAATCCAAACCTAGTTAGCAGTGAAACTGGTGACAGAAATGAAAGGTTCTCATTATAAGAAATACAGGGCTCCAAAACAGCAACAAAATAATACCAAGATATGTGCCTCCAAATAATAATACTTCACATCTATATAATGCTTTTGATTTTAAAAGTGCTGTAAAGACCTTAATCCCCAGAACAACCTTATGAGTTATTAATCTTCATTTTAAAGTGGGAAAATTAAGGCACAGAGAAGAGAAGCAGTGTGACAGTCACACCTGGAATGAGCAGTAGACCCAGGATTAGAACTCAGAACATTGACATATAAACCTGTGTACAGTTGCTCCAGATAATGACGACACCCTATGCAAATAAGGGAGGATTTAATTCATTATTCCAAATTCAAAGGAATTCATTAATGGGACATTTTGGCTGTCATGCATTAGGGGAAAAAAAGTCTCTGACAAACTATAAACAATTCAGTAATTCCAGGACCCACCTGCTTTTTTTTTTCTTGGAGACTTTGTGTGTTAGGGATTTCTGAGTCTTCATTCTAGATAAAACTAAATCAGAATGTGAGAAAAATCACATTAGAATATAAGAATGGCCATACTGAGTCAGACCAAAGGTCCATCCAGCCCAGTATCCTATCTGCTGACAGTGGCCATGCCAGATGCCCCAGAGGGAATGAACAGAACAGGAAATCATCAAGTGATCCCTCTCCTGTCATCCATTTACATCCTCTGATGCAAGGGACACTATTCCTACCCACCCTGGCTAAGAAGTATTGATAGACCTGTCCTCCATGAATTTATCTAGTTATTTTTGTAACCTTGTTAGGGACACATCTACACTAGGAAATTATTTCAAAATAATAACTCCTAAAATAACTATTTTGAAATTTAAAAAATGAATAGTCTAGTTGCACTTTAAAGACTAACGAAATATGTAGATGGTATCATGAGCTTTAATGGATACAACCCACTGTCTACACTACAGGGAAGCCTTGAAATTAGTCCAAGGGAGGCTCCTGTAATGTGCATGTGCTACCTTGACTTAGAGCCTTAGGAAGCACTGACGGAGTAATTACTTTGAATGACTCCGGGGAGTAGTTATTTCAAATTAATAGCCGTGGAGCAACCACAGTACCACTATTTCGAAATAACTATTTTGAAATAAGCATTATTCCTCGTGGAAAGCAGGAGTTATTTCAACATAACAAGACCCTTATTTTGAAATAACAGGATTGGTAGCATGGATGCTCTGCTTGTTATTTTGAAATAACTCTCTGCTGTAGACCAGGACTTAAAGTACTGGTCTTCACAACATACTCTGACAAGAAGTTCCACAGGTTTGCTGTGTGCTGCGTGAAGAGGACATTACAGGGCATTTATTTTAGCTTTTTAAAAAAGTGATCCCACCGACCCACAGTTGGGGGCCATACACAAATGAGAAGCGACCCCCCCCACCTCCAAAAAAAACCCCGAACCACTCATTGACATGGCCCCAAATGAGAAGGAGAAAAAAAGACTCACTCTTCTACTGAAGGAAGGGAGAAGGTGTTGAGGCTCAGGGCTTACTCCCAGGTCCAGATTAACTCTTCTGGGGCCCTGGGGCTAGTAGATTTTGTGGAGTCTCCCATGGCACTGGGGTGGGGCTAAAAATGAGGGGTTCAATGAGCAGGAAGATCCTGCCAGGGAGTGGGCTGGGGTAGGGGTGTAGGGTCTGGGTGAGAAGTAAGGTGCAGAAATGGGCCAGGGGGGAGGGGGTGCAGAGTGCAGGAAGGGGCTGGAGGGGGATGCAAGAGCAGGGTGGAGAGGGGGAAGGACACAAGGTTAGGTTTAGATTTGATCAAGGCAAGCCACAGGCTGCATTTGGCCCACAGGTCATAAGTTTCCCTCCCTTGCCTTAAAGGCACATATAGGTAAAAAACTGTAAATTTACATTATCAATAATATCCAAATATCTCTACAACAAGAACCCTACTTTATTTCACAATGAAAAATGCTCAGCAATTCAGAGCAGAAGCTCTATGGCTTCCCTCTTCCTTACCATTCAACCTTTGTTTTGTCCTAAGACCTGGGGGAAAGGATAGGCTTTGCAACAAAAATTCATTGCAAAATGGTATTCCAGAAGAAATGCATACTCTTGCAGCTATGAGAAATACATCTTCTCTACTTTCATTGACAAAGCAAGCTTAGCATTCGACCACTCTTTACTTACATATTTCAAATTCTTCATCACTACTGGAAGAAAAGGGCAGAATTGAACTGCAAAATAAAGCACAACAGATGTGAGGAACATGGCCACTTGAGAAAAAGGAAGTTACTCACCTTTTGCAGTAAAAGACAGTTCCCTGTTTGCCTAACAGGTGTTCTTCGAGATGTGTTGCCCATCTCCATTCACTGTAGATGTGTGTGCTCGCCACATGCACTGGTGCCAGAAGATTTTCCCTCAGCAATATTTGTAAGGTACCAGTTCCAGTGCCCCCTGTAGTGGTGTGCACATGCCATGCTATATAGGGTGCCACTAGGTCAGTGGTGGCCAACCCGTGGCTCGTGAGCTGCATGTGAAAAAATTGTGGCTCCTGACAGAACTGGGATGGAACCCGGAACTACTTAGGTAAGCTGCTGAGACAACAGCCAGATCACCGTGAGCCGCATTTCAGCGTATGCTCACGGCTCACACCATTGTACTCACAGCCCCCAGCACCCTGAGCCACTTCCTGCACGTGAAGGATGTCACATCCTGCATGTGTGGCGTTGTTGTTGTCTTTTGCGGCAGCGAGGGCTTATGTGGCGGTGGAGGATCTTCTGGTGGTGGCGGCGGAGGATCTTGGGGTGGCAGTGAGGGATCTTGCGGGGCAGTGGTGGAGGCAACAGTGGCGCCATTGTACTCACAGCCCCCAGCACCCTGAGCCACTTCCTGCACGTGAAGGATGTCACATCCTGCATGTGTGGCGTTGTTGTTGTCTTTTGCGGCAGCGAGGGCTTATGTGGCGGTGGAGGATCTTCTGGTGGTGGCGGCGGAGGATCTTGGGGTGGCAGTGAGGGATCTTGCGGGGCAGTGGTGGAGGCAACAGTGGCGGTGAGAAGGGCTCCTGCGATGGCAAGGGATCTTGTGGCGGCAGTGAGGGCTCCTGTAGAGAGAAGGCAGGGGCTTGGGTTTTGGTGCCTGGCAGGGGGGAAGCGGGCCTAGGTTTTGGTGCCTGGCTCAGGGGCCTGGGTTTTGGTGCCTGGCTCGGGGGAAGGAGGGGAGGGGGTCTGGCATTTGGTGCCTGGCTCGGGGAAAGAGGGACTGGATTAGAGCTGTGGTCACCAAACTCTGGGACCACAAATTCCACTAAACCTAGAACCGCAAAAGAGTTAATCTGACCGGGGACTGGAGTGCTGGGGAGTGAGGTGTTTCATTTGGGGCCACATTACTGAGGCTCAGGGAGAAGGTTTGGAGGGGTTGTTATTTTGCATCTCACTTGTAACTTTTCTGTGGGTCAGTGACCCCGGACTCAAAACAGGTTCTCTGCCCCTCTCATAAATAAAGACAATGCTGAAACATTTTGTGTTTGACATAATATTTTATTTAAAAATAACCCTGGCCAATAAGCCCCCAATTGGGGCCAAGCCCCCATCTGCCTGCAGCATCATAACACTTCTGCACACACACACACACACACACACACCCCGAACCTAAATCTGAGCCTATCATACACTGAGCCTCTCTCATCCCCAAACTCCTGCACCCCCACATCCCCAGTCTTGTTCTTATTTTTTATCGAACGCAATAGCAAACCACTCTTGTCTGATATGCCAGACTTCCTTAGCACATTTCAAGTGTTCAAATCTCCAGTGCCATTTCACAACACACCATGCTAAAATAGATTAGGAATTTCCAAAAGGTACTGAACTACGCACTCACAAACTAAACATTTTGAAAAGTCAAATAGAAAAACAAAGTGGAATGTTTTGTAAATTTTACAAGCACTCTCAGACAGTTACACTTGCCTCATGTCAAGTCACTTGGAACATTGCTCGTGCTAAAAAACCTTACAATGAAGGAGAGTTTGTTAAAAAAAAATGCCTTTTAGATGGTGCTTCCATCTTGTCAACTCTCATGCTACACAATGTAACTCAGAATATCTGACATAATTGAGGCAACTGAGTCACTTCTGTATTCAGATCTTCAGAAATGTGAGTACCTCGGTGTCAAGCTGGACGAGTCTTGTGAGGTACAGGACAAACCTCAATTGACAATATTTGTAAGGACTGTGTTGCAGGATTGTGTAATCAACGAAGAACTCCTGGATATCGTACCACTGCCAACAGTGACCAATGCCAGGTGCCTCAGAGGGAGCGAACTGAACAGGTAATGATCGAGCAATGTCTCTCCTGCCATCCATCTCCACCCTCTGACAAACAGAGGCAAGGGAAACGATTCCTTCCCCATACTGGCTAATAACCATTAATGGGCTTAACCTCCATGAATTTATCTAGATCTTTTTTAAACTCTGTTATAATCCTAGCTTTCACAACCTCCTAAGGCAAGGAGTTCAACAGATTGACTGTGCGCTGTGTGAAGAACTTTCTTTTATTTGTTTTAAACTTGTTGACCATTAATTTCATTTGGTGGCCCCTAGCTCTTATATTATGGGAACAAGTAAATAACTTTTCTTGATTCCTAACATCTTGTTTGCTTTTTTGATTGCCGCTGCACACTGCGTGGACGTCTTCAGGGAACAATCCACGATGACACCAAAAATCTCTTTCCTGATTAGTTGTAGCTAAATTAGCCTCCATCATATTTTATGTATAGTTGGGGTTATTTTTTCCAATGTTCATTACTTTACATTTATCCACATTAAATTTCATTTGCCATTTTGTTGCCCAGTCACTTAGTTTGGTGAGATCTTTCTGAAGTTCTTCATAGTCTGCTTTGGTCTTAACTATCTTGAGCAGTTTAGTATTGTCTGCAAACTTTGCCAGCTCACTGTTTACCCTTTTCTCCAGATCATTTATAAATAAGTTGAATAGGATTGGTTCTAGGACTGACCCTTAGGGGACACCACTAGTTACCCCTCTCCATTCTGAAAATTTACCATTTATTCCTATCCTTTGTTTCCTGCTTTTAACCAGTTCTCAATCCATGAAAGGACCTTCCCTCTCATCTCATGACAACTTAATTTACCTAAGAGCCTTTGGTGAGGAACTTTGTCAAAGCCTTTCTGGAAATCTAAGTACACTATATCTAGATCTGATCAGAATGTATATCAATGTAGTTGAACATTTTCAACAAAATTAAATCAGTTGCATTAAGTGTAGGTCAAATATTTTTAACTGCAAACTATCCAATCTTTTCAATGAAGTTTAAAGTTTGATTTTTAAAAAGTTACTAGAGAGCATTGCAGTTTTCTATTACATTGATTTACTTTTTAAATAGCAAAAATGGAGTGTTTGTTACGAAAGTGTCAGTTCTGTGGTCAAATTCCAGTCCTTAGTGATTTCAGCACCACTGATTTCACTAGGTAATATACCACCTCACCACCACTGCCTCCTTTGCACTGCCCTTCAACACACATTGCCTGCATGTTGAGTCCAAGGTCAGTCTACACAAGATTTTATCAATGATTTTTGCTCAAGCGATCACTGAGACAAGACAAGGACTCTCAATTGATTCTAGTCAGCTCTGCCTTTAAACACTGGGGCTGTGTCTACATTGGCACCCCTTTCCGGAAAAGGGATGCTAATGTAGACTTCGGAGTTGCAAATTCCACGGGGGATTTAAATATCCCCCGTGGCATTTGCATTTACATGGCTGCTGCTTTTTTCCGGCTTGGGGATAAGCTCTGCCTTGAAACACTGGATGTAAAGTGTCACAAATAATTGAGGACTCCCAAATAGACTCTGCACCACCAGAAATAAAACCTGTTTCCATCTTCTGTGACTTTCAGTTAGATGTGACTCACTATCCTCTGCTTAGTGTTCAAGTTATGGTAGACCCTAAGCCACATCATATTAAGTTCAGGTCTTTTACCTTTAATCATACAATATGGATAACATTTCGTTCTCCTAGCTCTAAGTCTTAAGTGAATTTCAAGCCAAAAGAGCCAAAATTGATCACCTTGACACAGCAAGTGTGTCTACTGATCTCTGTGGCAAAGTAGGTATGTCTATATAAATAAGGTCTGCTCATGAAGCCTTTTCCTACAGTTGATTAACAGATGGCAGTAGATAGCTCATTCAGACCACTGGCTGATAATAGTTAGTCACCCTGACCAGTCATTAACCATAGTCATGGACTCACCCTACTCTCCATTGTCTCTATGATTCTCTGATGACCTGTGACAAAAAAGGAGGGTGGAAAGGGAAACTGAAGGGAGAGACCTCTCTAAATTCACCAATCAAAGAGCAGTATTGCCAATCCAAAAATCACAAGGAACTCCTACACAAAGTTATGAGAATGGTCTACAAATCATAAGATATTTTAAAAATAAACCACGTTGGATTTTTATTGGCTTTGTGTTTCTTGAGTATTTAGGGTTCATGTTTTAAAGCTTTCCTCCTTAGCTGTAAGGCCCAGAAGTAGAGAACTTTTTTAAAATGAAAGCTGAGATTCCTACATAATTAATTGACTCCAGGCCTTTAGAGAAACACCAAATATTTTGAGACTCATGGTAAAACAAAGGAGGAATTCTTGTGAGCCCATGCTTTGCCCACAGTATAAATAAATAAATAAATAAATAAAAATCTTCTCCACTAAACATCCTAGTCTGATACTGCAAATGGTAAATTGAATTCAACAGCTCCTGATATGAACAGGTATCAACCTAGTTTTTCATATTTGAGATGGGTTACCAGGAATCATACATGACAATATGAAATCTTTCCACCCACAAGTCAGCATATTCACAAAGGGTGAAACAGTAACAGGAAATTGGAAATGGCAGAGGCGCTTAATGACTTCTTTGTTTTGGTCTTCACTGAGAAGTCTGAAGGGGAATGACTAATATAGTGAATGCTAGTGGGAAGGGGGTAGATTTAGAAGATAAAATTAAAAAAAAAAGAACAAGTTAAAAATCACCTAGAAAAGTTAGATGCCTGCAAGTTACCTAGGCCTGATTAAATGCATCCTAGAATACAGCCAGACCCCAAGTTGCGAACGGTCGACTTACGACCATTCGCATTTACAACTGAAGCTGTCGTAAATGGTGGACCCCGAGTTACGAATGCAATCCGCGCTTACGAACAGCGCAGTCGTGTGTAACTCTATGGGGTCCGACTTATGAACAAACCAAGTTACGGACTAATTGCTTGGTCCGTAACCGGTTCGTTAGTCAGGGAGAGGCTGTACTTAAGGAGCTGATAGAGGAGGTATCTGAGCCTCTACCTATCATCTTTGGAAAATCATGGGAGACAGGAGAGATTCCAGAAGATTGGAAAAGGGCAAATATAGTGCCCATCTACAAAAAGGGAAACAAGAACAACCCAGGAAACTACAGACCAGTTAGTTTAACTTCTGTGCCAGGGAAGATAATGGAGCAAGTAATTCAGGAAATCATCTGCAAACACTTGGAAGGTGGCAAGGTGATAGGGAACAGCCAGCATGGATTTGTAAAGAACAAATGATGTCAAAGCAATCTGTTAGCTTTCCAACCTAAACCTCCCTTGCTGCAGTTTAAGCCCATTGCTTCTTGTCCTATCATTAGAGATCAAGGAGAACAATTTTTCTCCCTCCTTCCTGTGACACCCTCTTAGATACCTGAAAATCGCTATCGTATCCCCTCTCAGTCGTCTCCTTTCCAAACTAAACAAGCCCAATTCTTTCAGTCTTCCCTCATCACTCATGTTTTCTAGGCCTTTAATAATTTTTGTTGCTCTTCTCTGGACCATCTCAAATTTTTCCACATCTTTCTTGAAATGTGGTGCCCAGAACCACATTTGGCACAACTCTCCAACTGAGGCCTAATCAACTCAGAGCAGAGCAGAAGAATGGCTTCTCATGTCTTGCTCACCACACTCCTGTTAATGCATCCCAGAACCATGTTTGCTTTTTTTTTTTTTTGCAACAACATCACACTGTTGACACGCATTTAGCTTATGGCCCCTAGATCCCTTTCTGCAGTACTGCTTCCTAAACAATCCCCTCCCTTCTATGTGTGTGAATCAAATGCACCCTTGGAACAGATGAGAGACCAACCCTTATGATTTTTCTCACCTGTCATCTTGTGAGAGCCAACATTCTGCAGTTACTTTCTTTTTGGTCTTTGTATCTGAAATAAAAAGAATGGATCCTCTTTCCAAGCAGGATTTCATAAGGAGAGAAGTGTCAACAAGGTTAAAGTCAGGCGTTAATTATTTGCATAACTGTAGTGCTTGGAAGACTCAGTCATTAAGCAGGATACTACTGTGCTAGGTATTGTACAAACAGAACAAAGAGATCCCAGTTTAGAGAGGATATACTATCTTATCATGTAGAATAGTGATAGAAATGTAGCCGTGTTAGTCTGGGGTAGCTGAAGCAAGCAGTCACTAATCTTCTAGTCAGTAGCCACTTTTACAGGATGGAATCATAGAATCATAGAATAATAGGACTGGAAGGGACCTCGAGAGCATTTCCGGAAAATCATGGCAGTGTAGACGTAGCCTACACTGTATGACAGAATCCGCTCTGAATTTCCTTGGAGCTGCAGTCTTTGGCAAGTGACTTGACTTCCCTGAGTGGAAATATGTAGACTTTTCCCATAATGTTCCCTTTCTCTATCTGTCACCTACTTAGGTCCTGAGTCTGCAGTAACATAACATCAGTATGTTACATAAACAAATAGTCACATTATGTCTGATTGGACTATTCATGTAGCAATACTAGGAATTTTGACTATAAACTCTTCCAAGTAAATACCTATCATTATTACGTCTGCAAAGAACCTTGTATATTTTGATGGCTCTGTTTGAATAAAACAAGTTTTACTGAAAAAAAGGGTGCTCAAGTGAATATTGCAGCGCACAGGCATACAAAAAGCCAGTAAATCTCTAGTTAAGTTCCCAGCCATCTGTTGCAACCTAGAACCATTCTATTAATTTCAGGTTTTTATACTTTCCCATCACACAGAGTATCTGAGGGTTTCATTTGGCTTAACTATGATTTTGCCTCTCCACACAACTTAAGCCACCCCAAACATACTTGTTCCCTCCACCTCCACTTAGTAAGTACCACTTTTAATTGACCACATGAAATAGTCACTTATGTTTTCTAATGCTTCAAACTATTGATTAGCATGGTATTTGCATTAGAAGGCACAGCGTTGGGTTTCACGCAGGAGGGATTTAAGAAGAAATACTTTGTAGCGGTTATTGTTTGCAACATTGTTATTTCGGTGTCGCGAGTGAGCAGGTGCAGACGGTGCTGTGGAATGGGAATGTGCGAGCCTCATTTCCCACAGCGGGCTGCTTCCCGTGAAGTCCCAGGCTACACGAACGCGCGACCGACTGGCAGAAACCCGCACAAGGGGCAGCGCTCGAGCGCGCAGCGACCCCGCCAGGAAGGGAAACACGAGCCGCGCCCAGTCACCTACCTGGCC